CTTGACAGGCAGGATGATGACACTGTACAGCGAACCCACACATGTGGTGATGATAGAGCTATCAAACCCAACCACATTCTCATGTATGGCGACTGCTGGCTGTGCATGCAACAGCCAGCACAGCCACGCCAAGGTAACGTCGCTGCGTCGATCGTTTCCTCCAAGTTTTTTGCCACATCTGGACCATGGTTGGCAAGGAGTTCCTGCCACGTTCAGGGTTGATTTCTTCTGTCTGCACAAACCTCCGTGCGCTCGGCACTTCAGCTTGATGTTCCCCTGCCATGCCGAGCACAAAGCCTCCCACCGCTCCTGAATTGTCGGAGCCGGCCCCAACTTGGAATCCCAGCTGGCGGGAACAGACTCAAAGATGTCCATGAAAATGCAACAGTCATCTGGGACTTTCTTCTTCAAAATGTCAATGCATTTCGCGTTGATCTCACAAACCGAAGCCTGCTGCCACTGTTTGGGCCATCCCAGCACAGCCTCCAGCGAAGCTTCAAGGACATGGTAAGCTTGCTCTGCGGAGGCGATGCCGGAGCACTGGGAAGAGAACAAATGCAGCCAGTTCAAAGAGCTCTGTCTCCTCAGATATTGCTCGGCATGCTAACTCAAGATCTTCGTATCCATACGGGTCCGGGACCCAAAGGCTTACTGACAAGAGTAGACTATCCGACTCATGCTTCACATACCCCTAAATGTTCAATGCAGAGTTGCAAGTGGTGCTCCCCGAAGCTCTGCTGCAAGAACTCCACCATGAAGACTCCAGCACGAAATGCACTGACAAGGGTGCTGATGCGCTCGTCAGTCGCGACGGTATCACCAGCACTACAATCACAATCAGCACCATTCAACTCTGCATCGGGGTCTGTTACGACGGACATGGATGACCCACTTGACATTGACTCTTCGAAGAAGATGCCGCCATCTGCATCGCTGCAGATTTCCTGCTGTAGGCATTCCGAAGACTCAGCTGTGACGACGACATCCATCTCCGTGTTCACGCCATTGACACTGGGATCGATGTCGAGTTCCCACTGGCATCCTTCAGCCGACCCGGTGCTGCTGGCGTCAGAACAGTCGAACACAACACCCTCCATGGGCGCTCGTCACACACTCTGGGGCATCTGGGGCACAGGGCCAAGTTTACCAAGTGAATCATTGGGCTTCCTGCTTTGGGCTTACGGCTGAGAAGGATGTCAGGGTATACAGAAAGAAGATGTTAAAAGAAGGCTGTGGACAGATGTGATGTTGCTCGCCATGTCGAGATCATAATGAAGCTGCACCACATGGGAACTCATAAATTTTCAGGCTTTGCTACACAGCCACACTTGTCAGGCCACGCAAAGAACATGAGATAACCCTCCCGCGGCCCGCAAGCCATGCAAAACTAAGCCAGCAAGGTTCCAGAATCCACCCTCTCAACACCATTACTCACGAAGCCGCTTAAAGCCTAAACCTCAGCCGCCTTGTAGAGGGTGCTCCTGTGCAACCTCTGCCGTTCCGATGTCCGCCAACTCTGCCTCCGGACGGTGCAACAGTTCCCCTTCCCCGGTCTGCAGTTATGGGTTTGACAGATTGCAGGCTAGTTTCGGGCTGGTGGTTTTGTTCAGTTTAGGAATTGAAACTGCAAGGTAAGAGGTAGACCTTGGACCTTAGGGAGCCCTCGGGGTGTAGGATTGAAAGATCGGTGTTCAGCTTCATGCTCATTGGGTCAGGGACTTCGGCTTAATTCGAAGAATTCAACCACTTCCGTGGGCATTCAAGCAGAGCGATGTTTTCACCAGCAGACACCCCACTGCTAGCGGCACTTTCTCAACTTTGCTACTGATACTGAATTTAGGTCTCGCCGACCTTCACATTGCTTCCAGGAGCCCAGAGGCGTTGACGCTGGACCTGCCATTTCTTGCCTTCTTCACTGACCAGCCAATCATCCAATCTCGCCTGGATTGTCGATGGAGCTGCTTTGCCAGCGCTCTTTCGCTGAACTGACACACCCATCGGTAATGCTGCCACAACTCCGGAGGCCAAAACCTTCACCCAGGAATCATGGATAGTCTGAGGCACATTGGAAGGAAGCCCACTTGCTAGAGCGTCCTTGGCCAACTGTCGCACGGCTTGGCCGGACTTTGCCCGCTGTAAGACACTGTCAGGCTCGATCAGGGATAAGGCGTCCTGGCCCTGGCATCCATCGAAGAAACTGCTGTGCCAGCGACCCGAGTTCTCAATGCGCGCATGCAGTGCTTGAACCTGACTCAGCTCTTTTGGTCTTGAAGTTTTTTTCAGCCTGGCATGTGTCCTCTCCAGAAGGTGGACAACCGCACGAACGAGAAGCTCATCTCTGCTGTGCCCTGTGACTGAGACATGCGCCTGCTGCAACATCACACGCACCATGAGGGTCTCCTTGCTTCTTTCACACTACTAGGCAGGGCAATAAAAAGCTGAAGTTTCTTGCTGTTGTAAAGAAGGCAAAACAAGTGTAAAGCTCCGTAGTTATTGAATAAGTACAAGTCTCTGGGGAAGCATGCTGATTATCACACCACAGGTTGGACATCATGGAGCCGACCCTTTCCACAGCAGCTTCTGGAGCTGAAAAAAGACGCCAACGATGGTGGACTCTGCAAGCGTGCCAGGAGTGGGGCGAATGCGAGTCTCCGAGGCTGAACCATGGGTCTGTATCCAAAGATGCCGCGATGCATGACGGGTCGACCTTGCGCAAAGGCTCTTCGAGAATGACAAGCTTGCCCTTTAGGTTCCGTGGGGCCTGAAGGACGCCCACTCGACATGAATCTGAACCTGAATCTGCCTCAACATTCATCCGTCTCTTGCTTGTGCAGGGCCCGATGTACTTTCGCACTGCTCGCTCAGAAACCTCGAATCTCCGGGTATCCTGTTTTGTGAGCCGGTGCCCATTCCAAGATCCCAAGAATTGCGAGACTGTGCAGGCAACATAAGCCATTGCTGGGCTGTTGCCAGGCAGACGGAGAGCTTTGCCCAAAGTCCAACGAAGTCCAGGGAAACTGTTCACTGGACTGACCATGTAACCAGAAATGGAGGACCAGCTCATTGCTTTGCGCAAGGTTTGCGCTGGCACGCCACTGTTTCCGTTCATCTCCAAGGTGTCCTCATAGCATTGACCTTACACAGCTGTGCTAGTCTGTGAAGTTTCACGCTCCCGTCTCTAACTGCGGGCTAGGCCCCATTATTATTATTTATTATTATTATTATTATTATTATTATTATTATTATTATTATTATCATTATTATTATTGTTATTATTGTTATTACTATTATAGTGTTATTATTATTATTACCATGCGCTTCTCGGTCTCAGCAAGTGGCGGACTCTGGACACCAGCAGCTCGTATTGCTGCGTGAACTCCCGCTTCTGCAAGGACCATGTCTGGGGCACCTTCTGGAAAGCATCGCCGTGGGGCCATCGACCCTTGGCAAGATAAGGCTTGAACATCTCCACGAGTCGGCCAAATGCTGTTAGGCATGCTCGGGTGGGCGGTTGAGCCAATAAGCTCGTCCAATCAAAAGCCACCTCCCCAGCACGCAGTAGGGAAAGCATGTCGGAATTCATCCCAACATCCGAGAAGATGTCATCCACCTCTTCTTTCGCGTACTTCAAGAATTCCATGAGTGCCTCAATCGCCTGTACACATGCAGCATGAGCTTGGAACACCCCGTTCGGCACCTGGCACCGGCTCCCAAGCCAGTTAGCTCGCGGGAGGCGTGGTCGAAACATGTCTGAGTAGTCCATCCCAAGCACGGAGTTCTTTGTGGTGTCGCGTAGCTGCTGCCTTGGGCAAAAGAAACTGGCATCCTTCTGGATTTCAAGCATGGTCCACAATGGCACACTCACTGTCTTCTGCACGCGACGGCCCCGCCGAAAAACATAGATCTTGGTCTTGACTCTTCTGATCTCCGGCACTGCTCGCCGCCTGGCCCTTCGGCAGTGTTCTTCCGCGGCCAAGCACTGACAATGACCTCCCAAGCTCATCATGCCAGGGGCAAGCTGCGCGTTCAATTGCAGTTTGCAACCCTGAAATTCTGGAGGAATGTTGAACAGCACCTTGCTGGCATGCAAGATAAAGGATCTGACAGGTTTGCCCCACGATGTATATCGACACGCAGACATCAAGCGCGCCAACTCTTTAGAGGACACATATTGTCTGCAGCAGGCCACTGCGCCAAGCATGATTTTGACTTTGGCAAAAGATTCCTGCATTGTCTCCAGAGCAGCTTCCATATTACGTCTGGCTTTCTCTACCACAGATGCCTCTTCCGCTTTCTGGACGATCAGTGCGAAGGGCCGGACAATCTTCAGCAGTGCCACGTCGAACCCGACCAAAAAGAACACGAAGGAGGGCTCTTGAAGACGCCGGCCGACTTCAAAGAGGCTGGTCAGCGAAACATTGCCTTTGCCCTCTTTCTTCCATGCGACTTTACCATGAAGACATAGAAGAACAATCTGGTAGTTCGAAATCAAACCACCTGGAGCTCCGCTCAGGTACACGACCTTCCGGGTCCCTCCGGGGCCCCTCAAACCGGCTCCGGTGGCTCCCACTCTCCTGAACTGCAAGCAGCACAAAGGTTAGCAGCCTTCATGTTGTTTGTTTTTGGCGTCAGTGCTGTCGGGCATGTTCAGGGCTCTTTCTACTTTACGCAAGTGGCGGCCCTCGAGCATTCTACCGTATTGGTGTTTATGGATGCTCTGAAAATCTCTAAGGCCCATGACTATGGATTCCTGGATTGGCACTAAAGAGCTAAATCTGCCGAAGCTCTTGGACGCTGCACGTTTTAACACTTTGCCTTCCCCCACGTTGAACAGTCGATCGCAGGACGCTGCCACGTCGAAGCATTCGCTTGCAGGAGGTGACCGACGAACTGCTCGCATGATTGCATTGTCGATCCTACTCGAAGTGGCTATTGAAGAATAAATACATTGGACTTAAGATTACTCACAAAAAACAAAGCCCTAAATTCCTCGACAGCACCTCTGGCTACTTGTTTAAGACCCCGTGCCTGTGAAAGTCGTCCCAACGTGTGCACACGACCAAAGAGTCGGGCTCAGCCTCTGGATGCACGCGCTGCCAGAGCAACTCGGCGGCACCGCCACTGGAATGTCGGGCTTGCGCACCCCCTTTCACTATTTGCCCGTCACCATCAATCATGGCCAATCGAGCCTTCAAGATGGGCAGATCCAGCATACTGGGATGTTGCGATAGCATCTCCAGAAGCAGTCGTGTCGTCTCAGAGCCGCTGTGGCATCCAATTCCGAGCGTTCGGTAGTCCAGCATCGGGGTTACAAGAGAGCCATCCTCTGCGCTGACGATGGTCAGATTGGCGACTAGGACTGTTTCGTTGCGGGGAAAGGCACTGCACTTTCCTAATGAAACTGGGTCGGCCATGACAGCGAAATCAGATTCAATTCCCAAGCCTCCGAGAACAGAGCACCAATCGTTGGCGTTCATCATATGCAAAACCTGATTTGTCAAGTATTCTACCTCCACGCAGAACTTGCGTGAGTGGCACATCGCGCCGTCCACATCCACGCCACAAAGCCGGAGCCGTGCCACTTCACGCTCGAAGGATGTTCTCGACTGCCCTTCCACAGCACAGCCGATGGCAGTTCGGACGCAAACCGTGGCGCTCTTCCTCCACCGGGATTCCTCCGTATCCACAGTGTGCGATGGCCTGCTTGGCTGCCACCGGGATTCCTCCGTATCCACCGTGTGCGATGGCTTGCTTGGCTGCAGTTTCCGCTCTGGATGTAATGGTTCACGATGAATGGGCGTCCAACCATTGGCTTCCACATCCCTCCAGCATCTTGAAACTGTTTGCCGTGACAGTCCCAGCAGGTTAGCTGCCAGCACTTCTGTGTATGACTTGCCAGTGCTGCCCTTGATGTCAGTAAACCCGCAGAGCATATCCTTTGTCAGCTGCTTCGGAAGCTTCTTGATATTTGCAACCGTGTTAACTATCAGCACCTGTGCCTGCTGGAGAGCAGGGCTCAGCGAACATATGGTCGAGCCACAGTTCATTCCTGGGACCCACTCGTTGGACTCCAAGCTGACATTGTCAAGGCCATCCTCGAAGGACACACCAGGATGGCCATCCATGTCAATCTGGCACGGCGGCATTTCGAAAGCAACGCCCGATGCTTCCGTGTCGCACGCAGATTCAGCAAGGTCTTGCCCAAGTTCCATGACGACCTCATCGTCGCTATGCACCAGCTCCCACTGCAGGCCGCAAGGGCTGCCGTGCTCTGACTCTCCACCCATGTCGCAGAAACACGTTCCCCTCAACACAGTCGCACTACCTATAGGCCTATATGGTTCAGCTTGGTTTGATTTTAATCTCACTGCATCAGTCCACAGCCACTTTGTCATGACACCTCTTGCCTGTCAGTCATGTAGAATGAAAAAGCAGCAATCATTCGACACCACTGCGGATGAGAGCCCACAACGACATGGTCAACGGACATGAGACTCGAAGTACAGCAGAAGCAAACGTCCCTCTGGGGCATGCAGCAAGAGTTTTGGGGTTACCTCCGGACCGTCCCGCCTGCCATATTGATGATGATGCCACGGCCGTTTGCACCTGGCGTGCTGTTGCTGACCCTGTGCTCTTGTCACTTACACTTCGGCATTTCCCGCAGAAGCAAACGTCCCTCTGGGGCATGCAGCAAGAGTTTTGGGGTTACCTCCGGACCGTCCCGCCTGCCATATTGATGATGATGCCACGGCCGTTTGCACCTGGCGTGCTGTTGCTGACCCTGTGCTCTTGTCACTTACACTTCGGCATTTCCCGCAGAAGCAAACGTCCCTCTGGGGCATGCAGCAAGAGTTTTGGGGTTACCTCCGGACCGTCCCGCCTGCCATATTGATGATGATGCCACGGCCGTTTGCACCTGGCGTGCTGTTGCTGACCCTGTGCTCTTGTCACTTACACTTCGGCATTTCCCGCAGAAGCAAACGTCCCTCTGGGGCATGCAGCAAGAGTTTTGGGGTTACCTCCGGACCGTCCCGCCTGCCATATTGATGATGATGCCACGACCGTTTGCACCTGGCGTGCTGTTGCTGACCCTTTGCTCTTGTCAATTACTTACACTTCGGCATTGCCCTAATCTTGACGAAGCTGGCCTTTCGGAAACGGCAATCCTACCCTACACAGTAAAACCGTAACCCTGCACCGTGAACCTAGTCGGTACATGAGTCGGATAGAGACTGCATTCTCACATCAACAAGGTAAGCGGCTGTAGCGGTTTAACCCTATGACCTAGATACGAAGATATTCGGAGCCACGGACACCTTTCGACCCAACAACTGACAATTCAGGTCTCAAGCCCCAGACTCAAAGCAGGATGTCGAAGACCAGAGTTCACATTTTAAGCGGTCGTCCTCCATTCAATTGCTGAAAGCTTCACAATCCAGCAAAATGAGCGAAGTCCATGACGGGTTTGAAGTCTGCGCATCCGAAAATGCCCTGCGCAGTCAGGCCACATGTGGATCGGTAGCAGTGACATAATTAGATTTCCAGATTGTGTTTAGATGCTCGGATGGTCCTGCGCTGGGCTGTACTGGACGCCTGTACTGAAAAGGAAAGGCGGAGGCTGTTGACTGCCGATGCTTCATAGCATAGACTGAGAAGAACAGCATGGTCAAACTGAACGCACGAATATCTCAGCCATGCCTAGAACCTCCACCTGAAAATGACTCGGGACAGCTCAGCTCCACTGGCTGTTTGGGAGAAACCGTTAAAAGCAGAGGCGGAGGCCGTTGACAGTGACTGCCAGTGCTTTATAGCTTAGACTGAGAAGAACAGCATAATCAAACTCAACTCACGAATATTCCGGCCTTGCCTAACATCTCAGCCTGAATCTCACTCAGGACAGCTCCAGTGGCTGCTTAGGAGAAACCGAGACCTGCTTCGCAAGCAAAATGGCCAGTCCGCAGGGGCAAAGCTTGGCTTCGCCATTCTCTTTGAAGACCCAGACAACTTTGCATTGGCTCATGCTCATGGCCTTCTTCCTCAATTGAGAGGGGAAATCACAATCACACGCGTCTTCCCAGTCAAATTGCACTAAATTTGAAAGTGCAAAGATAGACCACCAAAACCCTGAAGCTGTCTCTCTCTCTGTGCCTTTGTCCTCTCTCACCCTCTTGCTTTGCATCTCTTCCAAAACTAACCCCAACTTGAACTCAGCTAGGGTACACCACCAACTTGGCGTTCTCCTCAGTGGGCTCAAAGAACATGTCCTTGGAGCCCAGCGACACGGGCGGCACGCCAGGTGGGAAGGTCCCAGCATTGACCACCTCTTTGGCTTTCTTACGGGTGATCAGGGCTGACAATGTCTCCACTTTGTCAAGGTCTGCGACATAGTCGATATGCTTCTCCTTGCCGTCGGAGTCCTTCTTCGTCACCTTCAACGCAAAGATCACGGAGCACTTGTCTGCTTTGGGGAACATGTACAACATGTTCCCCGAGGTGTTGCCATCCTTGTTTTTTTTGATATTGCCGTTGCCCACAAAGAGCAAGACACTGTTGGGCGACACTTTCTTGTTGCCCTTCGCGTCATCCTTCGCCGTGAGAATGAGCTTGATATCGTTGTTGTCTCCATGGATCATCCCGAAGTTGAAGATTTCCAAAGACTTCAAAATCGTCATGTTATTGCCGCCCTGCCCCTGCGCTTGCCCCGACCCTTGCTGCCCGTCCTTTGTATCCACAGGCTGGTCCGTGGTCGCAGCGTCCTTCTGCTTGTCATCATCCCCACTCTGACACTGCTGTTGCTGCTTGAACAACTGATCCAGTCGCCCTTTGAAGCGTTTGGCTTCGGCTTCATCTTCTGCCCCATCCTGGCCGACACTGAAATCATAGTCCATCCCGTAGTTCAAGCATAGAAGTGTGCGAGATGAGATTCCAGTGTGGTTCCTGGTGCGCACACGAACAGCCACAAGTGTCGAAGACAAGCCATTACCACACATCGGCACGAGCTCCACATTCGCGCCTGCATTTCCCCGGAAATTGATTTGTCAAAACCCTCTCGGAAGAATCGGTCTGGGAGGGATGATGCACTGAAACGCTACACTGGAAATCTACGAATCCTGCAGAAGCTCACTCACGCTCAAAGCACGGCCTCGTTTGGACAGGCCCAAGTAATGCTGCAAGTAGGAAGCCGCACCTACAAGCGCTCCATACAAAGTTGCAGTCTCGTCGGCCGTGATCGGCATATTGTCCACGCGAATCAGGCCTCGGAATTAAACCCTGACTTCATTTACGTTGTCGCCAAAAGTCATCCTGTGAACATCTCAATGTGTGCAGGTCTGCATCCAAGACGCGGTCCAGGAGGACACTGTGGCCGGGTTGAGCCAAAAACTTTTTCAAGAGGTTCAGATCATCGAACCACAGGGCAGAGGCATGGCAAATGATGTCGCCATCTCGATAGCTTCTCGTGGTCTCGAGGCCTTTGCCGAACTTCGTGTCGACGAGCGCCAAGTCGCATTGGCCAAGCTCCTTGTGCAGCAGCTCGACACAGCGATCCTGGAGGTTCTCAGGCCAGGAGTTAAGCCCAGAAGGCCACGCAGCACCGTCCAGGCTGACCTCCTTGACAATGGTCATCTCGCCGTCGGGGACAGTGGCTCCGATGAAGGAAAGGCCACCCCGAGAAGCAGCACGCTTCACCCCCTGCTGCTTCCTGGCCTCCACAAGAAACCGCTGCGTCACCATCTGCCTCAACAATTCAGTCGCATGTCGCTGAGAGTGCTTCGAGGCAGCCTCCACCAAGCTGAAGACTTCAAGCCCGCATAGACGCCCCTCACAATGCGGAATGCGTCCGTGCCAAAACCCTAAACCCTACACCCCCTAAGGGACTTAACTAGGGTAGTCCTAGTACTAGTAACTATAGTCGTTATCGCAGTATAGTAGTGGAGGATGTTGACAGAGAATGGGTGATTTGAGGACTCACCCATGCAACTCAAGAAACACACTGGCTCATAAGTCGAGATGCCGCAGCCGGAAGGCCTGGATGTGCTGACCGACTGATACACACCAGGTACTTGGCACTGGAAGCATGCGCCACCTGATCCAGAATGATTTTCCAATGTTGAATCGGCTTGGCGAAGGGCCACAGAGCAACTGTGTAATCTTTCTTTTTCTTGGCACTGCCGCCCTCCTCAACAACATCTTCCATCATCACAACTTCGTCTTCATCTTCCTGGATGTCCATGTCGGCATCGCAGTCTTCGTCCATGTCTTCGGGGGAGATCTCCTCGTGCAAGTCGGCTTCGTCCTTGTTTGCGGGGGCGTCGCGATGGCTGCATGTACGGCTCTTGCAGACCAGGCGAAGGCCCTCCCACGTGGAGGCCTTGACACTGTTCGCTTTGACCAGGACCGGCACATTCTCCTTGGAAGCCGGGCCCGGGATGTACACGATGTAGTTGGGCACCCGCTTGAGCGTCTGCCTGTGGTACGATGCAGGCCGGGCGGTTTGGCGACCATTGAGTTCATAGTTGCTCGCGGGTTGGCTGACTGGGGGCGCTTCGGGCCATGAGCAACAGTCATAGTAAAACTTTATATATAGGTTCGCCTTCAATTTGAACACTCTCACAAAGTCTCAATGGTCTCTACCAAGGCCAAGTGACTAACGGAAATACAACATATCCCAATAGGCAGCCTAGAAATTACAGCTAAGGCACGACTCACCTGCAGTCACTGCCAGTGTGAACACTTTCCGCTTCGGGAAGAGAAGCTCAGCTTTCTGCGCGACCATGCTCAAAAGATCCAAGCGCTTTCCAACCGGCACTATAACATTCACGGTCTCGGGGTGCATGTGGTTCTTGATCGCATCGGACATGAAATTGAGCTCATCCAGGACGTGCTTGACCTTGCTTGTCGGGCTGTCGACGACAGCAATGGTCTTGCTGCCAGCAAAGACATGAAGCTTCAACTCCTCGACCCAATCTCTGCGCTCGAAGTGCACGGTGCACTTGACGAGATCGGCGGTCGCCTCGCGTTCGGCCTGCTCGAGCTGCGGATCAATCTTCGCGGGCGCATCCTGCATCTCGACGTTGACAGAGGTGTCAACATCCTCACCAATCTCAGCGGCCTCTCCGGCCGCAGCAGGCTCCCCTGACACTGGCGGCGAGCTCGAGGTTGACTCTGACACTGTTGCACCTGCTTTCGCCATCTCCTTCAGCTGCTCGGCCATGCGCTTGAGCTCTTCCATGCTGTTGATGGGGACCTAGGCCCAAAAGAGTCTTTGTTTGCCATTACATCGTCATCA